ACAGCACTCACACCCCCACACACAGCACTCACACCCACACACACCCCCACACACACAGCACTCACACCCACACACAGCACTCACACCCACACAGCACTCACACCCACACACAGCACTCACACCCACACACAGCACTCACACCCACACACACAGCACTCACACCCACACCACACAGCACTCACACCCACACAGCACTCACACCCACACACACCCCCACACACAGCACTCACACCCACACACAGCACTCACACCCACACAGCACTCACACCCACACAGCACTCACACCCCCACACACACAGCACTCACACCCACACACAGCACTCACACCCACACACAGCACTCACACCCACACAGCACTCACACCCACACAGCACTCACACTCACACACACCCCAACACACACAGCACTCACACCCACACACACAGCACTCACACCCACACAGCACTCACACCCACACACAGCACTCACACCCACACACACAGCACTCACACTCACACACACCCCCACACACACACACACACCCCCACACACGGCACTCACACCCACACACAGCACTCACACCCACACAGCACTCACACCCACACACACAGCACTCACACCCACACAGCACTCACACCCACACACACAGCACTCACACCCACACAGCACTCACACCCACAGCACTCACACCCACACACACCCCCCCACACACAGCACTCACACCCACACAGCACTCACACCCACACACACAGCACTTACACTCACACACACCCCCACACACACACACACCCACACACAGCACTCACACCCACACAGCACTCACACCCACACACAGCACTCACACCCACACAGCACTCACACCCACACACACCCCCACACACACAGCACTCACACCCACACAGCACTCACACCCACACAGCACTCACACCCACACACACCCCCACACACACAGCACTCACACCCACACAGCACTCACACTCACACATACCCCACACACACACACACACCCACACACAGCACTCACACCCACACAGCACTCACCCACACACACAGCACTCACACCCACACAGCACTCACACCCACACACACAGCACTCACACCCACACACACAGCACTCACACCCACACAGCACTCACACCCACACAGCACTCACACCCACACACAGCACTCACACCCACACACACCCCCACACACACACTCACACCCACACACGGCACTCACACCCACACAGCACTCACACCCACACACACAGCACTCACACCCACACAGCACTCACACCCACACAGCACTCACCCCCACACAGCACTCACCCCCACACACACAGCACTCACACCCACACAGCACTCACACCCACACACAGCACTCACACCCACACACAGCACTCACACCCACACACAGCACTCACACCCACACACAGCACTCACACCCACACACACCCCCACACACACACACCCCCACACACGGCACTCACACCCACACACAGCACTCACACCCACACACACCTCCACACACACAGCACTCACACCCACACAGCACTCACACTCACACACACCCCCCCACACACACACACACCCACACACAGCACTCACACCCACACACCCCCACACACGGCACTCACACCCACACACAGCACTCACACCCACACACACAGCACTCACACCCACACAGCACTCACACCCACACACACAGCACTCACACCCACACACAGCACTCACACCCACACACACAGCACTCACACCCACACACACAGCACTCACACCCACACACACAGCACTCACACCCACACACACACACAGCACTCACACCCACACACACCCCCACACACACAGCACTCACACCCACACAGCACACACCCACACAGCACTCACACCCCCACACACACAGCACTCACACCCACACACAGCACTCACACCCACACAGCACTCACACCCACACACAGCACTCACACCCACACAGCACTCACACCCACACACACCCCCACACACACAGCACTCACACCCACACAGCACTCACACTCACACAGCACTCACACCCACACACACAGCACTCACACTCACACCCACACACACAGCACTCACACCCACACACACAGCACTCACACCCACACAGCACTCACACCCACACAGCACTCACACCCACACAGCACTCACACCCACACAGCACTCACAGCACTCACACCCACACACAGCACTCACACCCACACACAGCACTCACACCCACACACAGCACTCACACCCACACAGCACTCACACCCACACAGCACTCACCCTCACACCCACACACACAGCACTCACACCCACACACACCCCCACAGCACTCACACCCACACACAGCACTCACTCACACACACAGCACTCACACCCACACCCACAGCACTCACACCCACAGCACTCACACACACACAAAACTCACCCCCACACACAGCACTCACACCCAGAGGCTCATACCCACACACAGCACTCTCACACACACATACACAGTGCTCACAACACAGGCTCACATCCACAAGGCATTCACATACGGCTCACACCCACACAGCACTCAAACACAGCTCACACCCATAAATGCGCACAGCACTCACACAGATTCACACCCACCCACACACAGCGTTCACACATAGAACACCCCAACTCTTGTTTTACAGTACAACTCACCATAAATCGGTCTCTTGAAGCAGATCAGGAGCCACATTGACCAGAGCGATGTACAGGAACCCTCCTGAGGTGAAAGGCAGAATCCAGGCCACGCTGTCTCCTGTGAGGATCAACACCATCATTACACACTCACTGACCACAACATGCTCACACTGACACACTCACTAACATGACATGCTCACACTGACACACTCACTGACCATACAATGCTCACACTGACACACTCACCGACCATGACATGCTCACACTGACACACTCACTAACGTGACATACATACACTGTTACATACTCACTGACAACAACATGCTCACACTCTTATACACTCACTGTCCATAGCATGCTTACACTGACACACTCATTGACCACAACATGCTCACACTGACACACTCACTGACCACAACATGCTCACACTGACACACTCACTGACCATGACATGCTCGCACTGACACACTCACTGACCATGACATGCTCACACTGACTGACCACAACATGCTCACACTGACACACTCACTGACCATGACATGCTTACACTGACACACTCATTGACCACAACATGCTCGCACTGACACACTCACTGACCACAACATGCTCACACTGACACACTCACTGACCATGACATGCTCGCACTGACACACTCACTGACCATGACATGCTCACACTGACTGACCACAACATGCTCACACTGACACACTCACTGACCATGACATGCTCACACTGACACACTCACTAACGTGACATACATACACTGTTACATACTCACTGACAACAACATGCTCACACTCTTATACACTCACTGTCCATAGCATGCTTACACTGACACACTCATTGACCATGACATGCTCGCACTGACACACTCACTGACCATGACATGCTCACACTGACTGACCACAACATGCTCACACTGACACACTCACTGACCATGACATGCTTACACTGACTGACCACAACATGCTCACACTGACACACTCACTGACCATGACATGCTTACACTGACACACTCATTGACCACAACATGCTCACACTGACACACTCACTGACCATGACATGCTCACACTGACTGACCACAACATGCTCACACTGACACACTCACTGACCATGACATGCTCACACTGACACACTCACTAACGTGACATACATACACTGTTACATACTCACTGACCACAACATGCTCACACTGACACACTCACTGACCACAACATGCTCACACTGACACACTCACTGACCATGACATGCTCGCACTGACACACTCACTGACCATGACATGCTCACACTGACTGACCACAACATGCTCACACTGACACACTCACTGACCATGACATGCTTACACTGACACACTCATTGACCACAACATGCTCGCACTGACACACTCACTGACCATGACATGCTCGCACTGACACACTCACTGACCATGACATGCTCACACTGACTGACCACAACATGCTCACACTGACACACTCACTGACCATGACATGCTCACACTGACACACCCACTGACCACAACATGCTCACACTGACACACTCACTGACCATGACATGCTCACACTGACACACTCACTGACCACAACATACTCACACTGACGCACTCACTGACCATGACATGCTCGCACTGACGCACTCACTGACCATGACATGCTCACACTGACACACTCACTGACCATGACATGCTCACACTGTTACACACTGCTGTTTGATCACGACAGCTTTGCGAGCACTGAATCCGATGACTGGCCACGGTGGACCTTACCTGTTCCCTCTGGAGATTGGGCACACAGAGCGAAGCAGGCCCCCAACACCCCGCCACACGCTGTCGTCATCTGCATCTTGGCAGCGCTCCAGCGATCAAACCCCGCCCTCAGCAAGATGGCAAAGTCCCCGATCTGTCAATCACACAGTGACGTGTCAGTGCCCAGCCACAATCACTGACTTTTAACGTTGGGAGGCTTCACTGGATTTACTATAAGGTGTAGTGACTGTGCATTTTGTAAGCAAACCAGATAATGGACCTGAGTAAGGGGAGACTTGTGTTTTAGAATGGTATTACTAGGGTTGGACATCAGAAACTAATGTCTATTGAACAGAGGCTGAGGCTTCACTGCTGAGAATCACTGCAAACTGGGTAGCGGGGAGGGATTGCCGGGACCACCACAGGCTGACAGGAACGGGAGCTGTATTTTGTAAATGAGAAACAAAAGCAGAAGTTGCTGGGAACACTCAGCAGCTCAGGCAGTATCTATGGTGAGTCCATGGTTCGGGTTATAGATTGCCCAGATGCTGCCTGAGCTGCCGAGTGTTCCCAGCGGTTTCTGTTTTTGTTGTAGATTTTCAGCATCCGCAGTATTTTGCGTTTTGTTCTGTAAATGAAAGTTTGCGAGTAATCTAGAAATGGGCAAAAGGAAGAATCTCTCAGGCAATGAGGCAGATGCCATTAGCTGCAGAGACAAGCGTAAAACAATCGCCACAGATGGTGGGAACCCATGTGAGAAAGTGTGTTCGAAGGTAGAGTGGCACAGTGCCAATCGGGAGAGATCAGGGGCTCGCGTGGATAAGTAGATGAATCTGACAGCTCAGCTTGATGGCAGTGGATGTGTTCAGTATCTACAGTAAACATCGAGGAGCACTGCTGTTTAATACTGTGCTGATCATCAAAAGATAAACCTTTCAAGTGGATAAAGTGACTCACCTCATGGGGTACCTCGTGCAGGAGGATGGCCAGGGTAGTGATTAGCCCCACCTGCAGGATAACACCAATCAACCCACTCTCCGTTACACTTCCCCTCACACTCACACCCCTCACCTCCCCTCACACACCTCCCCCTCCCCCCCACCAGATCAGCAAATACAACACAACAACAACAAATTACATTGTATACCACCTTTCACGTCGGGATGACATCCCAAGGCGCTATACAAATGTGACAGACAGGACAGCTGGCGTAAACCGCAGGATGGCTACAGATCAAAATCATAACAACAGACAGTGAGAATAACTACGCAGACAAAATACAACTGCAGCCAGAATATCATTCCATCCAGCAACACTGCTGCCCATCTCTAAACCAACACAATACTAAGACAGTGTCACATAAACAGCTATTCCTGAACAGTCTCCCAGAAAGCCTGGCTCCTTGGCTCTCCTCCCTCTCCCTGGCGGGCGCTGCTGGCACAGTACAAGGTGGCATGTAACAGAATGTAGAAACCATGAGTCTGTACCAGTAGCAGTTTGCATTTTAGGAAGTGGAGAGCATGGACCTGCTGGACTGGCTGATAGCAGACATACATATCCCTGCGTTTTGGCCCCAGAGAATGTGACACACACAGGCGGCTCGGGTTAGGGGCGGCAACAGGTTCGGGGCCACTTGTCTGAAACCCTTGGTCTAATTCACTCCTCCACCCTCCCCGAACCCCCTGGAACAGGTACCAGCCTGTGACTCCCCGCTGGGAGTATGTTATTATATATGCATACATACACACGCACACACATAACCCACCCACCAAACCCTTGGATTAGTTTCAGGGCAGCTGGAGGATCTGAATGGCCTCCTCCTGTTCCTATTTACCTTCCTGCTGACGAGGAAACTGCCGGCCACAGCCAGTCCATGTGTGAAGTTGTCAATCAGGTTAGCGATCAGGTTCAGGTAACCACTGATCTGCAAAACACACAGGCTCAGGGTGACACTACGGTCCCTCAACGTTCACCCCAAACCATGTCAGCGCTTCCTAGCCAAATTCTACACTCAACCTGGCTCCTCCCTTCCCCGTTCTCTCCTCTCTCCCTTCATCCCGCATTCCCATCTCTTCCTTCCATCCATCCCCCACCCCCTCCTCTATTCCTCCCTCCCCTACCCCATCCCCGCCTCGGCCTCTCCCCACCCATCCTCGCCTCGGGTTCTCCCTCATCCTCCCACCCCCATTTCGCCCCTCCCTCCCCCCACCCGATCCCAGCTTCTCGCCTCCTGACCTCCTACCTTTATGGCTTGCACTGGCTGCTCAGAGACTTTATGTTTGAGAGCAGAGGCCCGGCAGTGACCGTTTGGGAGCGCGATGAAGGAGCCACTGCAGCCGACACGGTGGTAGGAAAGGCCCTTCTTGTTCGAAAGCTGCTTCACCTGCTTCCGGCCATTAAGCACTCTGGGTGGCGCCTGGAAAAGAGCAGACCTGAGATCTGGGCAGCTAAACGCTCAGGACACAAGCAAAGGGTTATCGCAGAAGGGATCAGGACATTGGAGACTAGAGTAGAGTACATATTGGTACAGACTGGTTTGGTTGAATGGCCCGTTTGCCATGATTGCCATACTGTTCTACAGCAGCCTCAGCACTGCACCAAGTGGCCTCCGTTACTCACCCTCCACGTTGGCCATGAGAAATCCTTTGCTGTATGTATTGTAAAGTGTTTACACTTAAAAGCTACAAGCTTAAAGGGGATGAAGGAACAGAGAGACCTGGGTGTTCATATCAGTAAGTCTTTGGCAGGACAGGTAGATAAAGCTGTTAAAAAAGCATACGGGAGAGTAGGTTTTATAAGAATACAAAAGCCAGGAAGTTATAAAACACTGAGAAAGAAACTGAGGGGAAGTGAGGAGAAACATTTTCACACAGCGAGTTGTTGGGATCTGGAATGCGTTGACTGAAAGGCTGGTGGAAGCCGATTCAATAACAACTTTTAAGAGAGAAGTAGTTATTTGGGGAGGACAAGTTTGCAGGGCTTCGGGGAGAGAGCGGGGGAGTGGTGTTGATCAGGGCTATGGGGAGAGCGCGGGGGAGTGGGGTTGATCAGGGCTATGGGGGAGAGCGCGGGGGAGTGGGGTTGATCAGGGCTATGGGGAGAGCGGGGAGTGGGGTTGATCAGGGCTATGGGGGAGAGGGGGAGTGGGGTTGATCAGGGCTATGGGGAGAGCGCGGGGGAGTGGGGTTGATCAGGGCTATAGGGAGAGAGCGGGGGAGTGGGGTTGATCAGGGCTATGGGGAGAGAGCGGGGGAGTGCGGTTGATCAGGGCTAGGGAGAGAGCGGGGGAGTGGGGTTGATCAGGGCTATAGGGAGAGAGCGGGGGAGTGGGGTTGATCAGGGCTATGGGGAGGAGCGGGGGAGTGGGGTTGATCAGGGCTATGGGGAGAGCGCGGGGGAGTGGGGTTGATCAGGGCTATGGGGAGAGCGCGGGGGAGTGGGGCTGATCAGGGCCGAATGGCCTCCTTCTGTGGAGTATAATTCTATGGCTCTATGCATCTTAGTACTGTGAAGCATTCAAATACAGTTTGTGCAGTCTGCATTACAATTATTATCACAGCAGTTGACCGGCCTATATTGTTGTTGAACTGGCTCAAAGCATTTGTCGACAAACACAGCCGCTATTTGCATACAGCAATATCCTACAGTCATCAAATAAATGAACAATTCTCTTTTGGGGGGGGCGGGGTTTGTGGGCCAGGACATCTGGAGAATCTATCTTTTCTAACCGTGTCACGGGATCGTTAACATCTACCTAAACAGGCGGCGCGGCCAGGTGGGCGGAGGGATTGGACGTACAGTGAAACCACTTACTGTGTAACCGACAGACTCCTCCTCAGCACCCGTGTCTGGGAAAACTTTCTCCAACACGAAGAAAAACAGAAAGCCAACAATCACCCACATCCCCAGCTTCCGCTGTTGCTCATGGCTCTGACTTCCGCCTGCACATAGACAAGGACATGGGTCACACTGACCAGTGCAGGCAGACCACACAGAGAGACCGGTACAGGCAGACCACACAGAGAGACCGGTACAGGCAGACCACACACACAGATATAGACAAACTGCACACAGATAGGTACAGGTAAAGTAAATCCAAGAGACAGGTATGGGCAGCATACACAGAGTTGGGTAGACGGCCACTGAAGGCAGCACACACTGGAGCAAAGACATTGCTTACCTTGATTGCGGTTGCAAGTATAGGCCCAGGCCTCTGGTAACAGGTGCAGGAAGACATCCCCTAACAGGCCACCAATCGCAAAGCTCAGCAACTGCTTCAGCCGCTGGCAGCCCTCTGCAACCGCAGAAAGCAAGCACACACCAGTCACCCTCCGCACTGACTGTCAGAAATTCACCCCCTGAGATTGCTGGACACCCCAGGCCAGGACAGGGGTGATACTGGAGTGTTCAGAAATTCTAGACTGTTAATTTGAGACGAGATACCATCAAAATTAGACTAATTCTACGAGAGTTCGTAATCCAGATACCTGAAACTGCCAGAGCTCTCACACTATACCACAACCCACCCCACCATGGGGCTCCTTCCCCCAACATCACACCACCCCCTCCTCGCAGGGCTCCCTCCCACCACATTGTACCCCCCCCACCCCCTGCAGAGTTTCCACCCCACTGCAATATTGAGGGAAGGGTTCTCTGATCCACTCCTAGCACTCGAGCGCTCTGGGATGCTATCCTGCCTAAGGGGCGTTATATCAATGCAAGTTGTTGTTCTTCTTGTGGATGTGAGCTCCTCCACCCAGTTGCTTTACCTTGTGATCTGAGAGCAGGCCCGGCTTTGATGGGGATGACAAGCAGTGGGAAGATCCCGGTGAGCCCAACCAGCACGGCCCCAATCATCGAGCAGATCCAGGCCTCCACCCGCTCCCCCACAAACAGTTCCGACCAGGAGCGCAGCTGGAAGACACTTTGAGAGCACCACCTTTGATTGCCCGCAGCACCCTGTGTGGCTGCTGCCTTTCTGGCCAGCTTCTTGGCATTGGCACGGTGGATATCGGCATCAGACAACAATGGCAGGAGCCAGCACACATACAGCAGGAGAACCAGAGCTTGTGCATCCTTTTGTGTTACCATCCTGACGCTTGTGTAGACAGGCACCAGGCCATTCACTGTAAACAAAATACCTTTTCTGTGATTGTACACACACATGCACAGCCAATATACGCACCCAATACACCCCCATATAAACCCTCAATACACCGTGAGATCATATTTGTGATGTTTAATGTCTTTTTAAGGCTTTTAATTAATCTTTATATACGTTTAGAATGCAACCTACTCATAATGCTTTAATAAGGGTTTAATCCTTTAATAATCCTTCAAAAAGCAAACTTGTCCTCCCCAAAAAATAGATAAGAAAGTTGTAACTTTGAAATAATTGGAGTTGACATAAAGGGTCAATGGAATCAATATTGATTTTACTGTATCTATGGTCTCAGTTTTAAGAATAAGTTAAGCTGTTTGTATTAATTTAATAAACCTTGGATTATTACAACAACAGCAGCAACTCACACTTATAAAGTGCCCCCCTCAGAGCTTAACAATGGCGGAGCCCGAGGCCGAGCCAGGGGAGGGGGAAGGTGACTGTAATCGTGGTTGAAGAGGAAGGTTTTCAGGTGCGACCTGAAGATGGGGAAGGAGGAGGCGAAAGGGTTGAGGGAGGGAGTTCTAAAGTTTCGGGGTGTAGTGTCTGAAGGCACAGCCGCCGATGGTGGAGCGGAGGATTCGGGGGACACGGAGTAGGCCGGACCCAGTAGAGCTGAGGCAGCGGGTACTGCTGTGGGGAAAGAGGTTAGAGAGATGGGGGGTGCCAAGGAATGGAGAGATTTAAAACAAGAGTGAGGATCTTGAAGTGGACCCGCTCTGTGACAGGAGCCAGTGGAGTTTGACAAGGACTGGAGTAATCGGGGTCTGGCGTTTGGTGCGGGTGAGAATGCGGGCGGTGGAGTTTTGAATGAACTGCATTTTGTGAATACTGGAGGAGGGGAGACCGGCGAGGAGGGGGTAATAGTCCAGCCAAGGGGTGACAAAGGCACGGACAAGGGTTTCGGCAGTTTTTGGGGTGAGGCATTGTCAGAGACGGGGAATGTGGTGGAGGTGGAAGAAAGCGGATCTGGTCCGGGACCGGATGTGGGAGAAGGAAAACTGGGGATCGAACCTAACGCCGAAGTTGCGCTCGGATTCAAAGTTTTAAGGACAGGTTAGGTAGCTTGAGGTCGGAACCGTGGGACAGAAGACGTCGGCGGGAGCCAAACAGTATGCCTTCCTTCTTGTTGACATTTAACTGCAGGAAATTTGCGCTCATCCAGCTCCTGATGTCTGACAGACAAGCTGGGGGTTACAGCTGGAGGTGGAAAAGTAGAGTTGAGTGTCATGGGAAGCCAGTGGAGTTGGGTGAGGAAGGGGGTGATAGGGTCATGGAGTCTGGTGGGGGTGAGGATGAGGGTGATAGGATCACGGAGCCTGGTGGGGGTGAGGAAGGGGGTGATAGGGTCACGGAGCCTGGTGGGGGTGAGGAAGGGGGTGATAGGGTCACGGAGCCTGGTGGGGGTGAGGAAGGGGGTGATAGGGTCACGGAGCCTGGTGGGGGTGAGGAAGGGGGTGATAGGGTCACGGAGCTTGGTGGGGGTGAGGAAGGGGGTGATAGGGTCACGGAGCCTGGTGGGGGTGAGGAAGGGGCTGCAGAGTTCTGGATGATCTGCAGCCTGTGGAGGGAGGAGTTGGGGGCTGACAAGCAGGGAGTTTGCACAGTGGAGTCTGGAGGTGATGAAGGCGTGAACAAGAGTTTCAGTGGCCTGAGGGTTGAGGTAGTGGCAGAGTCGGGCGATGTTGCGGAGGTGGGGAAGGCAGAGCGGGTCATGGCACAGACGTGGGGTAGAAAGGACAGTTGAGGGTCAAACCAGACCCCAAGGTTCGGGACCGGCTCAGTGAGGGGGAGTGAGCCCCATGGATGGTGATACTGTCAGCCCTGAGGTGAGGAGGCGCAGACGGGAGCCGATCAGGAGCCTCTATCTTGTTGACGTTCAACTGAAGAAAGTCTCCTCCAGGGCTTGATGTCTGACAGACATTCTGTCAGGACAGCAGTGGGTTCTGGAGACGGGGGGGGGGGGGGGGGGCAGAGAGGGAGAGTTGGGTGCCATCCGCATACATGTGGAAGTTGACTCTATGTTTGCGGATGATGTTACCAAGAGGGAGCGTATAGATGTTGCAGAGGAGGGGACCGAGACGGTGCGGGGGCTGGAGGAGAAGCCGTCTGTGGAGATGAAGTGGAGCAGTGTGAGAGGTATGATCTGAACCCGTCGAGGGCAGAGCAGTGAAGGTTGAGGTGAGATGAGAGGCGGTGGATGAGGATAGAGTGGGCGATGGTGTTAAAAGTAGCAGAGAGGTGAAGGAGGATGAGGAGGCAGAGGGAGCCCTGGTTGCAGATGGACAGAATGTCATTTGTCACAAAGACCAGGGCGGTTTCTGTACTGTGAGCGACACAGAAACTCGATTGGAGGGGTTCATGAAGGGAGTGGCGGGAGAGAAAGCTGCGAAGCAACAACTTGTTCCAGGCCCTTGGAGAGGAAGGGGAGGTTGGAGATGAGGCAGTAGTTGAGAGCAGAGATAGGTCCAGGGAGGGTCTTTTAAGGAGTGACGATGGCTGTTTTTAAAGGGGGTGGAAATGGTGCCAGTGGCCAGGAAGAGGTTTATGATGTCAGTGAGTGGAGGGGCAAGGAGGTGGAGCTGGGAGGTAAACAGAGGGGTAGGGATGGGGTCGAGGGACCAGGTGGTCGGTTTCGTTCGGTTTATAGTGGTGATGAGAAAGGAGAAGGAGATAAGTCTGAATGTGCAGAGGGACACCCCACCAATATACACCTTCAATACACCCCCTTAATATACAACCCCCCACCAATATACACCTTCAATACACCCCCTTAATATACAACCCCCACCAATATACACCTTCAATACACCCCCTTAATATACAACCCCCCACCAATATACACCTTCAATACACCCCCTTAATATACAACCCCCCACCAAAATACACCTTCAATACACCCCCTAATATACAACCCCCACCAATATACACCTTCAATACACCCCCTTAATATACAACCCCCCACCAATATACACCTTCAATACACCCCCTTAATATACAACCCCCACCAATATACACCTTCAATACACCCCCTTAATATACAACCCCCACCAATATACACCTCAATACACCCCCTTAATATACAACCCCCCACCAATATACACCTTCAATACACCCCTTAATATACAACCCCCCACCAATATACACCTTCAATACACCCCCTTAATATACAACCCCCCACCAATATACACCTTCAATACACCCCCTTAATATACAACCCACCACCAATATACACCCTCAATACACCCCCTTAATATACAACCCCCCACCAATATACACCCTCAATACACCCCCTTAATATACAACCCCCCACCAATATACACCTTCAATACACCCCCTTAATATACAACCCCCCACCAATATACACCTTCAATACACCCCCTTAATATACAACCCCCCACCAATATACACCCTCAATACACCCCCTTAATATACAACCCCCCCTAAAATATATCCTCAATACACCCCCTTAATATACACCCTCAATATACCCCACCCGAATATACAGCCCCCCAATACACAACCTCTGTATGCACTCCCCACCTAAATATACATTTGAACACACCCCCTCCCCCAACAGCGGTACAGCCGGAGCTACAAAACCTACAGCAGCGCTGCTCCGCTCTCGTTAAACCGTCGGAGCAGGCGATGGCCAAGTAGAAGCCACGGTTGCCCGCGGCCTAGCCCTGCCCTGCGCTGCCGCTGCCTGTGCTGCCGCCGTGTGCCAGGCCTCGCGCTCCGGGGACAGAAACCGCCGATACCCCGTCACCAGCCGCCGCCACGTAGTCAACATCAGGCACAAGCCCCGGGCTCCCTCCTCACAGCACACAGCGCGCCACCGTCACACAGCGCGTCACCGTCACACAGCGCGTCAGCGCGTCACCGTCACACAGCGCGTCAGCGGCACACAGCGCGTCAGCGCGTCACCGTCACACAGCGCGTCAGCGGCACACAATGCGAGTTTGAATTCTGACCGTTAAACGGTCACGTCCCGCGCTCACCCCGAACCCCCCCTCATCCCCTCACACCCTCATCCCCTCACACCCTCACACCCTCATCCCCTCACACCCTCAAATCCCCTCACACCCTCATCCCCTCACACCCTCAACCCCTCACACCCTCAAATCCCCTCACACCCTCATCCCCTCACACCCCCATCCCTCACACCCTCAACCCCTCACACCCTCATCCCCTCACACCCTCATCCCCTCACACCCCCATCCCCTCACACCCCCATCCCCTCACACCCCCATCCCCTCACACCCTCACCCCTCACACCCTCATCCCCTCACACCCCTCATCCCCTCACACCCTCATCCCCTCACACCCTCACCCCTCACACCCTCATCCCCTCACACCCTCATCCCCTCACACCCTCAACCCCTCACACCTCACATCCCCTCACACCCCCTCCCCTCACACCCCCATCCCCTCACACCCCTCATCCCCTCACACCCCTTCTCCCCTCACACCCTCCATCCCCTCACACCCTCACCCCCTCACACCCTCCCCTCACACCCTCCCCTCACACCCTCACACCCTCACACCCTCACCCTCACACCCTCATCCCCTCATCCCCTCACACCCTCATCCCCTCATCCCTCACACCCTCATCCCCTCACACCCTCATCCCCTCACACCCTCATCCCCTCATCCCCTCACACCCTCATCCCCTCACACCCTCATCCCCTCACACCCTCAACCCCTCACACCCTCATCCCCTCACACCCTCATCCCCTCACACCCTCATCCCCTCAAACCCTCAACTCCTCACACCCTCAACTCCTCACACCCTCAACTCCTCACACCCTCAACTCCTCACACCCTCATCCCCTCACACCCTCATCCCCTCACACCCTCACACCCTCAACGCCTCACACCCTCAACGCCTCACACCCTCATCCCCTCACACCCTCATCCCCTCACACCCCCATCCCCTCACACCCTCATCCCCTCACACCCTCATCCCCTCACACCCTCAACCCCTCACACCCTCAACCCCTCACACCCTCAACCCTCACACCCTCATCCCCTCACACCCTCATCCCCTCACACCCTCATCCCCTCACACCCTCATCCCCTCACACCCTCATCCCCTCACACCCTCATCCCCTCACACCCTCATCCCCTCACACCCTCATCCCCTCACACCCTCATCCCCTCACACCCTCATCCCCTCACACCCTCATCCCCTCACACCCTCATCCCCTCACACCCTCATCCCCTCACACCCTCATCCCCTCACACCCTCATCCCCTCACACCCTCATCCCCTCACACCCTCACCCCCTCATCCCCTCACACCCTCAACCCCTCACACCCTCACACCCTCATCCCTCACACCCTCATCCCCTCACACCCTCATCCCCTCACACCCTCATCCCCTCACACCCTCATCCCCTCACACCCTCATCCCCTCACACCCTCATCCCCTCACACCCTCAACCCTCACACCCTCAACCCCTCACACCCTCATCCCCTCACACCCTCATCCCCTCACACCCTCATCCCCTCACACCCTCATCCCCTCACACCCTCATCCCCTCACACCCTCATCCCCTCACACCCTCATCCCCTCACACCCCCATCCCCTCACACCCCCATCCCCTCACACCCCATCCCCTCACACCCCCATCCCCTCACACCCTCATCCCCTCACCCTCATCCCCTCACCCTCATCCCCTCACACCCTCAACTCCTCACACCCTCAACTCCCTCACACCCTCAACTCCTCACACCCTCAACTCCTCACACCCTCATCCCCTCACACCCTCATCCCCTCACACCCTCATCCCCTCACACCCTCATCCCCTCACACCCTCATCCCCTCACACCCTCAACCCCTCACACCCTCAACCCCTCACACCCTCATCCCCTCACACCCTCATCCCCTCACACCTCATCCCCTCACACCCTCATCCCCTCACACCCTCATCCCCTCACACCCTCATCCCCTCACACCCTCATCCCCTCACACCCTCACATCCCCTCACACCCTCAAATCCCCCACACCCTCAAATCCCCTCACACCCTCAAATCCCCTCACACCCTCATCCCCTCACACCCTCAAATCCCCTCACACCCTCAAATCCCCTCACACCCTCAAATCCCCCATACCCTCAAATCCCCTCACACCCTCAAATCCCCACACCCCCTCACACCCTCAAATCACCTCACACCCTCAAATCCTCACAACCCCTCATCCCTTCACACACTCAAATCACCTCACACCCTCAAATCCTCACACCCTCAAATCCCCTCACACCCTCAAATTCCCTCACACCCTCATCCCCTCACACCCTCAAATCCCCTCACACCCTCAAATTCCCTCACACCCTCAAATTCCTGCATCCCCTCACACCCTCAAATCCCTTCACAACCCCTCAAATCCCTACATCCCCTCACACCCCATTAAATCCCCTCACACCCACTCATCCCCTCACACCCTCAACTCCTCACACCCTCATCCCCTCACACCCTCATCCCCTCACACCCTCATCCCCTCACACCCTCATCCCCTCACACCCTTAACCCCTCACACCCTCAACCCCTCATTTGATATAGCGCTTTTCACGTCAGGAGGACGTCCCAAAGCGCTTCACAGAACACACTGTAAAGTGAATTGACTGTATATTTGTGGGCGAACGCGGCAGCCAATTGCGCACAGCAATGTCCCACAAACAGTCGTAGACCAACAGTGGCAAATATTTAAGGATGTAGTGCAAAATTCTCAGCAGTCGCATATTCCCTTGGGGAATACGAGTACCACAGGGAAAGCAATTCATCCGTGGCTAACCAGAGCAGTAGGGAAAGCATCAAATTAAAAGAAAAGGCTTATAAAACAGCCAAGAAAAGCAGCAAATCTGAAGATTGGGAGAGTTTTAGAAACCAGCAAAAAAAAAACTAAAAAACTCATTAAGAGCGAGAAAAAGGAGTATGTGGGTAAGTTCGCTGGGAACATTAAGTCTGATTGTAAAAGTTTTTACAAATACATTAAGAGGAATAGGCTGTGAGGGTAAATGTAGGTCCACTTCAGTCAGAGACGGGAGAAGTTGTAATGGGGAATAAGGACACGGCAGAGTCCCTAAATGGGTATTTGCATCTGTCTTCACCGTAGAAGACACAACAACAACAACAACAACAACAAGATTCCATTTATAAAGCGCCTTTCACGTCGGGAGGACGTCCCAAGTCGCTGCACAGTTGGGTCAGGACCCGAGCATTGGGGAAATGGTCAGGGTGAGGGGAGGGAAGGGAGGGAGCGAGGAGGGGGGAAATGGTCAGGGTGAGGGGAGGGAAGGAGGGAGCAAGGAGGGGGGAAATGGTCAGGGTGAGGGGAGGGAAGGGAGGGAGCAAGGAGGGGGGAAATGGTCAGGGTGAGGGGAGGGGAGGGAGGGGGTGAGGAGGGGGGAGAGAGTCGAGAGGGGAGCTGAAGGCTGAAGGTCAAAGAGAAAGGTCTTGAGACCGGCCTTGAAGGAGGAAAGGGAGGAAAGGCGAAGGCACTGGGGATGGAGTTCCAGAGCCTCGGGGCTGAGAGGCTGAAGGCCCGGCCACCGATGGTAGGGCGGTTGGGGCGGGGGACGTGGAGCAGACCGGAGCCAGAGGAACGGAGGGTACGGGCAAGTAGGTAGGGGGATAGTAGGTCGGAGAGGTAGGAGGGAGCAAGGCCGTGAATGGCCTTGTAGGTGAGGATGAGGATCTTGAAATAGTCCAGCCTTGAGGTGATAAAGGCGTGGACCAATGTTTCAGCAGCATGAGGGGTGAGGTAATGCCGTAGCCTGGCGATGTTCTGCAAATCTGCAAACAACAGAGATACACCAAGGGGATAAGGACAGGGAGCAACTTAGGGAAATTTTCATTAGTAGAGAATTGGTGCTCGGGAAACTGTTAGCACTAAAATGTGACAAATCCCCTGGTCCGGATGGCTTGCATCCCAGAGTTTTAAAAGACGTATCTTATGAGATAGTGGAGGCCTTGTGTCTGATCTTCCAAAATTCCTTGGATTCTGGAACAGTCCCCATGGATTGGTTGGAAGATCGCAAAGGTCACACCACTATTTAAAAAAGGTGGAAAGGAAAAGATGAGGAACTATAGGCCAGTTAGTCTCACATCAGTGATAGGAAGAATTTTAGAATCGTTGATTAAGGATGTGGTAGTGCGGTATTTAGGGCACAATATAATTAGGCCAAGTCAACATGGCTTTACAAAAGGGAAGTCATGTTTGACAAATCTCACAGAGTTTTTTGAGGATATTTCCAGTAAACTAGATAAGGGTGAATCAGTGGATGTGGTCTATTTAGACTTCCAGAAGGCATTCGATAAGGTGCCGCATAAAAGGTTAGTCCAAAAGATAGGGGCCCATGGAATTGGGGGGAGCATATTAACGTGGATTGGGGAATGGTTAATGGGTAGGAAACAAAGAGTAGGGATAAACGGGTCCTTTTCAGATTGGCGGGATGTGACTAGTGGAGTGCCACAAGGATCAGTCCTTGGGCCTCAGCTATTTACCATCTACATCAACGATCTTGATGAGGACATCGAAGTTAATATATCTAAAGTCGCGGATGACACAAAACTAGGAGGAAGTGTCAACACAGAGGATGACACAAAAAAAATGCAGCGAGACATTGATAGGTTAGGTGATTGGGCAGGTAGGTGGCCGATGAAGTATAACGTAGGGAAGTGCGAAGTCATCCACCTCGGGAGCAAAAACAGGAGAGCGGGTTATTTTTTAGAAGGAGAGAGATTGGAATGTGTTAGCGTCCAGAGGGACTTGGGTGCCCCTG